CCTTCCTTCCTTCCCTCCCTCCCTCCTTCTGTGCAGTGATTAGGACGCAGTATTGCAGGCTGACTCTGCCAACTGCCAGCAGTTTGTTTCTGACCAGCACAAGGTCGACTCAGCCTTCAACCTTCTGAGGTGAGTAAAATGAGGACCCAGATTGTTGGGGGCGATATGCTGACTCTGTAAACCGCTTAGAGAGGGCTGAAAGCCCTATGAAGCGGTATATAAGTCTAACTGCTATTGCTATTGCTATGGTGACGCAGTGATTAGGACGCAGTATTGCAGGCTGACTCTGCCAACTGCCAGCAGTTTGTTTCTGACCAGCACAAGGTCGACTCAGCCTTCAACCTTCTGAGGTGAGTAAAATGAGGACCCAGATTGTCGAGGGCAATATGCTGACTCTGTCAACTGCTGTAAAACACTATGAAGTGGTATATAAGTCAAAGTGCTATGGCTACTGCTATCATCCATGTCCCCATTATTCTGAACACTGGTGGAAAGGGTGTGTGTGTGTGTGTGCGCATACATACACACACACATTTGCTTTGGCATCTTCATGTAATCCAAAGGAAATCATTTTGGCTGTTTAGGAGATAAGCTTGGTTGGTGTCATGATTAATAATGTCAAATACCAATAAAAGTATTAATGTTACTGAAGTGCCCAAACTGAGTGGCTACGTTCCTTTTATAAATGCATTTGCACCGTCTCTATCTGGGACTGTGAAACAAAGGAAGTTGAAAATCTCTGTCCTTGAAGAAGGCACGTGCGATATTTTCTTAATATCATATAAGAATCGCCTTGTTTTCCCCCTGTCTTACTTTTAAAGACTTCCTTCATTTGTAACGTCTCCTTCAATTAGTATGAGATTGAAGACTAGATGCCTTATGGGAGATTCAGTTCAGAGAAAGAGATGACAAGCTTTTGATTAACAGCAAAAAAGAGGGTTTGATTAAAATAAAGAGGCAGGGAGGGCCAAGTCAATGAAGAGGACAGGAAAAAGAGATCAAAGGAAACAGAGAGTGAAAAGCAACTGGGCTCCAAGACATGGGGCAAGGGGGGGTGTGTGATGAGGATACTAGCAGAGGCACGAAGAGCCAGTGCTGATGGAAAAAGGTGATCGAAAAGGGTGCAGAGGAAGAAGCTGTGAAGAGGCATTCAAGGTAGCACAGGAACAACAGTAAACCTGAGAAAATAAAGAACCATTGCAAATGACAAAGAAGGAAACAGAGCGGGATTAGAGACTAAAGCGGCTGAGTGGGCATGGTGTAGAAAATGAAGATGATAAAGTTAGGGGTTCCACCACAAAACCGCGTTCGACTAAAGCACGCTCGACGAAACCGCGTAGCTGACGTCATCAACAGGGCGACAACAGCGTGGAGACAGAAGCACGCTGTAAACGCTAAACCTAAAATTAACCCCTAAACCTAACCCCCCTAAACCTAATCCTAAACCTAACCCTTAACCTAACCCTAAACCTNGTCTGGAAATTTCTCCTTAGTTCTAAGTTGCTTCTCTCTTTGATTAGTTTCCACCCATTGATTCTTGTCCTACCCTCAGGTGCTTTGGAGAATAGTTTGACTCCCTCATTGGAACATGGCTATCATGTCTCCCCTAGTCCTTCTTTTCATTAAACTAGACATACCCAGTTCCTGCAATCATTCTTCATATGTTTTAGCCTCCAGTCGAATGTTAGTCTTATGTAGCCAAACTCAGCCTCTCTGTATCTTTCTTCAACTTTCTTACTCTTAGCCATTGCCAGGTCTTATTGTTATTTGCTTTATTATTATTTTAAATTTATTGTAGCTGCCCACCCTCATAGACTCTGGGTGACATAAAAATACAAAACAATAAAAATAGGCAGCTTGTACTAAAACAGTCAGACCATAATAAATCCAACCAAATGGAGCTTTTTGGACTCCAAGAAAGGGGGCACAGTCCAGGGGTGAAATCCAGCAGGTTCTGGAGAACCAGTAGCGGACAATTTTGAGTAGTTCGGAGAACCAGCAAATGCCAGGAATGGAGATTTTGCAGTATCCTTCCCCTGCCATGCACCAAGCCATGCCCACCAAGACACGTTCACAGAACCGGTAGTTAAAAAAAAATGAATTTCACCACTGGCACAATTCCTCTCTCTGGGTATACTGTTCCAGAGGACGGGTGCCATGACAGAGAATGTATGCTTTCTTGGTCCTCTAAAATGGCAACACTTAATAGAGGAGACCTGGAGCACGTCCACTCTGCCAGAACATCTTGGACAGGCAGAAACAGTTGGAGATAGGTGGTCCCTCAGATGTCCAGGACCTATGCCATAAAGGGAGATAACATGAAGATAACATACATGCACTTGGTTTTCTCTACATCCCAAGCCCGTCGCCATTCACCCCTTGCATTCTTGTGGCGGGTGAGCCGCTCAAGATCAATCTGATCCCGTTCTTTCTTCCATTGCATGTACTCTGACCGTTCTCTCCCAGTCAGGGTGCAGTTTTTCTCTTCCGGGGTCTCCTGAGGAGAGTTCTCTCTTTCCTAATAGAAAAAAAGAATGAGTAATTAATATGAAAGCATTCCCTGGGTATGCCAAATACGACCTATAAGAGAGGTTTATTGGAATAATTTTTAGTAGTACTGGGAGCTTCTACTTGATTTATGACTTAAACATTGTAATTTCTCTAATCAAATAAGTCGGTTTATCAATCTCAACAACTTGATTTGTCTTCTGTTGATCTTTTCCCCTTTTATCGTCAATTTTATAGGACATGGCCATTTCAAAATATGACACAGTTCTTAAAACGTGGAACATTGAGTGCTCAGCAAATAAATAGTAATGGTTTTATAAAAGATCATTGCAGTATGAAACTGCATAGGGAGGCTCTGAGGTAAAGAAATATGTGTCATGATTTTTCAAAATTAGGAGCCTAGCATACCTTTCCTATCCTGGTGACATTCAATTATATTGCATTACAATCCCCATGTCTTGTAAGAGCTGGTAAAGATGGGAATTGTAGTCTACCATATGTGAAAACTTTCACATTGGGAAACCCCATCCTAAAGTAATGAGGAAAAGTTTTTATTGCCTGAGTTATCTGTCATGAACTATTCAAACCATTCATACTTACAGTATACAAGTGGGATTTAACTTGCACTTCCAAAATGCACATGTACAAAACTAGGGACACTTCTTATGATATCAAAATGGTAAATTGAAAGTTTAAATGGCTGGGCCTACTTTGGAAATGTTTCAGATTTTGTACATGACACATCGAAGGAGAGGTGTAATTAAAGTGGATTTCCCAAGCTTTTTTTTAAAATAGCCAGATAGTTTCAGTGATTCTGGCTGCAAGTGGGATTTGAACCAGGAACTTCACACACCTTTAACTATTCTCTTGCCCTTAAATGTACATAGCCAACTTCTTCCACTGTAGGGAGCTCAGATGGCCCTGTGTACTAAACACCATCAAGTAGACAAGTACACAAGCCAGGGCAATGTTCCTTGAGGAGATAATTATTTGCCAGCCTCCAGTAGCCTTGTGATTTATTGTTGTAATTGCCGAATGCTAGTCTTGCTGAAATGTTTAAAGACTTTAATAACAACAAAGAGTGAAAAATGCAACTCAAAACAAAAAAAAATGTATCTGAAGGAAAAACTATCAACACAGCAAGAGTTTGCTGCAATCCATTTGAAGTTGGGGCCAACCAGCAATTTTCTACCCAGTCAAGGATATCCAGTAGGGACCCAAATATACAGCTTGTTCTACAACATTATTTTCCCATGGGTAATTCAATATCCCATCTCTTTCCCCTTCAAAGGTTGCCACCCCCACTTTCCCTCCAAACAAGAATTAATCTCCTTCTATTTTATTGCGGATCAAAATAGATGGGAGGAAAATTAAAGACCTGGAAACCTGTTTCCAAGGAGACTCACCTGTGTGGGTGGGCCAAGGGGAAAGGAACAAGAAGGCTTCACTTTGCTATCAGAAGACAGAGCAGTGCCTGACAAACTGAGCCAGATGTAGGTGGGGAAGGCAGCTGTTTAAGAGATCCTTTTGAACTATTGGAAAAGGTTCCACCACAAAACCGCGCTCGACGAAACCGCGCTCGACGAAACCGCGTAGCTGACGTCATCAACAGG